AAAGGTGTCACTCTCTCAGCCACTCATGTGGACAGTTTTGGATTTTGGAATATTTTGGATTTTGGAATTCCAGATAAGGGCATTGAGCCATGGCAGTGAAAGTGGTGTCAAACTGCATCAGTTCTGCAGCCAAAGTGAGAAAGTTAGCAGCTACTTCAACTAGCCCATAAAACAGACACAGGATCAAGGGACTGACATAAAAGTTTCCAACGTTCGGGGTTGTTTAATTTGAGGGATGTATAAAATTACGCTTAGTGTGAAGATAAGGGGAAAGTTTCTCTTCCGTTTATATAAAATTAGAACTCAATGGAGTCATCCAACAAAGCTGAATGGTGGGAGATTTGGGACGAAGGAAAGGAAAGATTTCTCTCAGAGTGGTGTGTAGTTGGAATGGTGGAACTCATTGCCACTTGGAAAGCCTTAAAAATGAATTGGACAATTTCTGGGAGGAAAGTCCAGCAAGCAATAGCTACTAGTCATTATCGATATCTATTTCCTCCAGTCCCCAAAGAAGAAAACCAATGTGACGTAGTGATCTGAACGTTCGACTAGGACTCCAGGAGACCAGGATTTGAATCCCAGCTCAGCTATGGAAACCCACTGGGTGACTTTCGGCAAGTCAGAAGAAGGCAATGGCAAACGTGCCCTGAACAAATCCTGCTAGAAAACCCTGGGGAAGGGTGTCATAATTTGGAGTTGATGTGAAGGCACAAAACAACAAGCCAGAGAAAAGAGGTCTCTCAATACTAGTTGCAGATAAATAAGATTGGGCTTCTGATCTTGCATTTACCATTCTGGTTGAGGATGTCCTCCCCATTTAATTCTAATTTTCTGACTGGTCCCTGTGGGAATATAACACGGGATTAAACAACCTTGGCTAAGGATAATGTGTCTCCTCTGAATGAATGCCTAAGGAAGGTAATGGGCTGGAGGAGGAAAAACAGACAAAACAGAAATGCTTAATGTCAAGGGTCCTAGCCTGGGTTTTGGAGGTATGTCAACCAGTCCTGGATGGGGTTACACTCCCATTGAAAGACTGTGTTCACAGCCTTGAGGTGCTTCTGGATCTGTTGCTCCAAATGGCGGCTCAGATAGATGCAACGGCCAGGAGTGCTTACTATCAGCTTTGGCTGATACGCCAGCTGTACCTCTACCTTGAGATGGTAGTGCATGTGCTGGGAACCTCAAGGCTGGACTTTTGCAATGTGCTCTATGTTGGGCTACCTCTGTACCAAATTTGGAGACTTCAATTACTTCAAAACATGGCATCCCGATTGAGTACTGAGACTTCCAGGAGTAATTATATTACACCAAAATTAAAATCTCTCCACTGGCTGCCAATTAGTTTCCAGGCAAGGTACAAAGTGTTGGTCATTCCCTTTAAAGCCCTACATGGTTTGGGTCCAGTTTACCTACAGGATCACCTTCTCCTATACATTCCACCCCATATGCTCAGATTCTCTGGAGGACATTTACTCTGGTCAGCCAGGACTAGGTTGGCAACTGGGTTAGCCAGAGGACTTTTTCTTCAGCCGCCCCCAAATTGTGGAATGACCTGCCGGACGAGATTTAACAGCTGAATACATTATCCGAGTTTCAAAGAGCATTAAAAACCAGTCTCTTCCAGCAGGCTTATCCAGGTGATTTTTAAATTGTGAATTTTAAATGATGAATTTGAATTAGATTGTTTTATTATGTATGTGTCTTATTTGTTCTTTTAAATGGATGTATATTTGTTAATCGTTGTTCCCTGCCTTGATCCATAGGGACAGGCAGGTAATGAAATAGTAGTAACAACAACAACAACAACAACCCCTCTGGTCTGACCCAACATGGCCTCCTTATGTTCTTAAAATAACCTCTTTCTAAACAGCTGCAAATGAAGGTGAGGAGATACTTACTGAACATGGCTGTAGTACAAGGTACCATTGTTCTCCATCTGCCAAGAGATCATTTAAAAGTCAGGCATAGCTATAACAGAGGTTTTTGTGGATTTTTCGGGCTGTGAGGCCATGTTCTAGAAGAATGTATTCCTTTATAACAGAATTTATACACTATATATATAGTGTGTATCTTTATAACAGAATTTAGCTACAACAGAATTTATACACTCTTAAAAAGAAGTGGGCAACTGCATGATTAGTATGACCTGCCTTGAATCTCATTGTGGGAGAAAGCCAGGATATAAATCCTTGAAATAAATAAATAAATAGCAAGGGGGCTATTCTCTCTGTCTCCAGCGGGTCACACTGGATGGCACAGTGGGACACATGCCACCCAATGTCACTCCAGAGTGCAGAGGTAATGGGGGAAATTTGGGGCAGTTTTGGTACCAGAATATTCTGGGAGAAGCTTCTGGCCCATGTGGAAGAGCCCAAAATGTGCTCCAGAAATTCTACTCACCAAGTCGAAGTGGCAGCTCTGACAGATGTAATGCCCAGGTGGTTCTTGGGTGACGTTTTGACATTCCCCGCAGACCAGCCTCCCATAGACCTTGGAAAAGAGAGTGGGAGCAAACACACCTGTCGGAAAAGGAAAGACAATCACCATAGTGCCAAGGTGGGCACAGAACATCCCCCTCAAGGCTGTTTGGTCCATCCAAGTTCTCCAGATCATCTTTTCTACCCAATTCAATAAAACATTGTGCTATTAAAAGTACCATATATACTCGATTGTTTGCAGCCAGCCTGCTTGCCTCTTCTTCTTCTTCTCCACCTTCTGTGAGGAGATAAGTGGGCCAGCTGTAGACAACCGAGGGTAGGCAGACGGGCAGCAAAGCAGGATCATCCTTTGCCCCTACGTTTTACCCTTAACTTATCCTCGGGTCATATAAAAATCCTTACTTTTGGCCCCCAAACCTGCCCTTGACTGATACATGAGGTTGACTTATAGTCAAGTATATATGGTAGTATTTTATTGCACTAAAAGGTTAATTTCCCATCCTATATCAGAAGATCTATGATGACCGTGTCTCTAACTAACTCAATAACCAGGCTCCATGGATGAACCAAAAAGGATTTTTTTGAGAAGCTCAGCAGGATAGACAAGCATTTGCCAGAACTGGCTGCAAAGACCGAAACAGAAACATATTACCCCCTTAACACTTACAGCCCCTTTCCTGCCCCTTCCCCTTCCTTTTCATTCCTTTCCCCGGAGAGTGACTTTGGGGCTCCGGTAACATCTCTGCCCTCTCCTTCCCTGCCTCCTACTCCCAGCACTTAACCCAAAACTGTTCACAACAATAACAATCAATTCCCCAGTTATAGCATCACTACTCAATATATTCTATCACCCAAACTATCATAACCAAGAGCCCATGGCAGGGGACCTCAGGGGGACCCTGACAAGATCTCAGGGTGGTGCAGAGATATAACTGTATTGTTTCCAACTTCTGCTGTTTGAAATTTTAAGATACAGC